GACCCTCATATTATTTTCTCTTCAACCAACTTCTACAAAGCTAAGACCTCAGCTTCGAGTTCTTCAATTAGACTTTCTTGTTCCTCTAATCCACACATAAGAAGTTCTTTACGTCCGCTACTTTATTTCCCTTTTTGGCACTTCATGTCCTCTCCACTTCTACCAGCTGCTGCTTTAACAATTGAATGACAAAGTTCTTCTGTTTAAGCACCAACATCATCAACTGCTTGGAAAATTATGAAAATTTCCATTCTATAAAAACATTCATTTCAATACAAAACTTTATAGTAATAATATAAAACACAAAACTATAACAACAAAGTACAGATCGATCCCGTTTCCATGACACATTCCATGAAATTGTCACCCACAGTTATATTTATCCAATGCAACAGTCATAGAAATTTCTCTATGTGTTGAGATTCTTGATAGGGGGAGCACTGGTTTGGCTGAACCCACAATCTTAATAATATCTGAGTTTTTGATGATGACAACACATAATTAATAACACGTGTATTATATGTTACATGTTCTATGCTTACATATTATATGCGTATATGAGAACATGATTATGTTGTTGTTGTGTTGTTCATTGCATTTCACTGTGTTATATATGTGATTTTATACATGAATGCATGACACGTGTTTTTGATGAGAAAAACCACAAGCACAAATGTTGAATTTTAATTGTGTGGCAAAACAATAGTTTTAAATCGATTACATTGTGGGGTGAATCGATTAAAACTCGTGTCTTTGCATAAACCTTTTTCAAAGTGTGCTGTGAGATTTTTCAAAGAGAAAAGTTTTCAAAACTATGCTTAACATTGTTGCATAATCAATTACATGCGATATGTATTCGATTAAGTCTGTTACTATTTTGAAATTTGTTACTGTTTTGAAATCTGTTAATGCTTGATATAACTGTCACAACGGCTATATTTTTAAATGTGTTGACCAAATATTAAATGCTATTCGACTGCATTAATTGTGAATTCAATTAATTTCTTTGACTGCTACTAACTGTTATAACTGAATTGGTGTATTCAACTGCATTAGTAGCAAAGTCTATTAAAATGCGTCAAAGATATGTTATACTATAAATTGACGCGAATTTGATTTCTGTAAAGAACTTTTGTGATTCTAAAATTTTCATATTCTTTTGCAGAAAGTTTGATTCTTACAGAAAGAAGGAAAGCTCCAAGAAACAAGTTTGACCGTGGTGATCAACTACTTGGAATTTCTTGAAGAGCAAGATTGCTGAGTTTCAAAGTCTGATCTATCTGCACATTTGGGTGTCTACTGCAAGATCCGTTTCTACAATCTGTTGAAGATTGGGTTGAGTTCTCTGTTGTGATTACAGGAAGAAGGATGTGTTGCGTTCTTGACTTTGAGGGTGCCTCAAAGGGGTTGGACTGTAGGAGAGGAGATTCTTGCTGCTAGTTTGTTTATGTACTGCCTATATTTTGATTAGAGGGTTAGAGAGGTGTTTTATATTTTTGACGTGAGGTCTCTATAAAAACCTTGTTATAAAAACCTTGATCATTATAGTGCATTGGCTTCCTGTGGTTGGAAGGACACTGGATGTAGGCTTGGCCGAACCAGTATAAAAACTCAGCGTTTGATCTTTCTTATCCCTACTCTTTTACAGTCAATCGATTATACTTTATACGCATTCGATTAAATTTCTGCTGCATTGAAAATCTTTTAACTTATGTTTCAAGAAAAGGTTAAAGGCATCTCTTTTGGTGAAAACATTTTTGAAAATTTTATTTTTTATACTTCACTAATTCACCCCCGTCTTGGTGTGAGAAATTGAGCCATTCTATTTTAACACTATGCAACCTTGGGAAGTCATGAAATGATCACAAAACCACACCTAAAATATTTAATAAACCAAAGTAAAAAAACCAATCCAGAACATACATAATTTGCATTTTCAATGGCTATACATGCTTTACCTGCAACATTTAAACGCATCCATCAACATAAATGTTTGTTGTACTTTTTCATTTCTTCAATGATTTACAAGCTTTGCTTAAGTTACCTAACTGATAAACTAAACTACCCCAAATATACTTACCCAAACACCCTAACTCTTCAATCCTAAAAAGAATGGGAGATACTATTCTGTTACGATTAGGTAATAAAATCTCACATATCCCTAACAAGATATACAACAAACAAAAATGTGATAAAGCAACATTACCATGTTCTTCCAACAAAAATTCATATACAACTTTCACATCACGTTTTTCAAAATCAAAGTACTTCTTACACTCACTAAACTTTTCAATGCAATTTAAATCAATATTTTCACCAACTACATCCAACGCTATCCCTAAGCAGACATCCATTTCCTTGAATTGTACAAATTTTTCTCCAAAAAAAACCCACCCGTACGGTCTACCCATCTTATGCATGACTCATTCAACAAATTTCTACCAAGCTTAACATTGTCAAGCAATTTTTAAAAGCAATTGAATGGTGTATTTCCAATAATGGTCCTTTGCTCAGGGTCAATCTTCCATTCAACCCACCAACAAATTTCGTTTTGAAAGAATGACACATATTCAACTACATCAAAATAAAACAATAACCAAAGGGTGAACTGAAAATGAAAATGGGTACATCCAAAATGTTAAAGGCTAAATCAAAATGGAGTAAGAGAAAAGGGGAAAGGGGAATCGAAAAAGGAGAAAGGGGGAACAGGAAAAGAAAAAAGGGTAAGGGGAAAAGGGAAAGGGGAAACACAAAATGCGAAACGCGAAATGCGAAACGGAAAATGCAAAGGGAAAGGAAATACCTTCTTCATTGCTTCACCGGAGTCTCACCAAAGAAGATCAACCTTTTTGGTTCTTGACAGAGAAAGGAGAGAGAATGATGAGAGAGGTTGGAGGGAGGAACACAATGGAGAGGGTTGAGAGAATGAAATCCAAGTTGAAAATGAAGAGTGCAAAGAGGGGTAATTTCAGAATCCTGAAAAGGGTAAATCTGCACCTTTTTCCACATCAGTGACAACAATTTTTTTTAAATAGTCCATTAAGAAGCTGACACTTGGTAGTTTTAAAATTGTTGTCAAATGTGAGTTGTTAACATTATGATGTAGTGAAGTTTATTTGCCTACTTTTTCTGCTAGAAGTTGTTGTATTTATATAGGCACTAAGAAATCGAAAGGCGCGTGCTGTGGAGAAAACTAATATACTCTAGTTTTTTTGGTAGTTTATTCATAGGAAAAAAATATTATCACTCAACTACACATTGCAATTATACCTTGAGATTTGTGACGTCTACTTTAATTAATGAACTCACTTACATTAACACTCTCTTGTTATGTTTTAATAACCTGATTTATCATTTCATTGTGGATACTATTTTATAATAGTGTTTGACATACTTTTATTTCTTATTTAAATTTTGTCAATACATTTCTTCACTCATATTGATTAAGAGTGTTATAAGTTAAAAATACTTACTCCAAGGAATATTACTATTATGAATTTAAACTTATAAAAAAGAAGAAGAAACTAAATTCTAACTTGAGAAGGAAGGACGTAGATGTTGAGTAATAAGAAATAATATTAGTTGGAGAATGTGCTATTCCTTTACACATGATATACTTTTTTTTTACCAAAGGCATGTTTGGGCATAATTTGACAATAGAGTTTCAACGTGAAACAAAAGAAGTAAAGCAAAAATACACATGGTTAGTAATAGACATGTGTTAAAGTTTAGTATTATACGATGTTATGGTGATTAAGAAAAAGTCCATAAAAAAATTTCACCAAACTTTAAGACAATAGTGTTATCTAGATATGAAAGTACATTTCAAGGAGTTTTAGACTGAAAGAAGTTCAATTACTCAAGAATCCAAATAAGAAGAAAAACATAGGAAATGTCGAATTGAAAATGAACTTAAAAGGAAGAAAGATGGTTAGAGATGGAAGACAAGAAAAAGTGGTGAGGGTAGGGCTTAATGGTGATGGCATGCCACTTAGGGGGCATTAAAGCTCACCAATCCAAGATTAGTGGTTTTTGCCATCACTTGAGAACTATTCTCAAGATAAGACCAAGTGAAGAAGACATTCTTAAGAAGAACCTCTCACAAAGGTGGTATAGAATGTATAACTTCAAAATATTCAACCCTTACAAAGGTTTATGAGAATCCCTCTTATAGGTATGGAAAAAAGGTCGCTTTGTAAAAGTACAAAGCTAAAGATGAGGGTGCAATAGCACAAAAATTAAGCTTTTAGAAATTAGGTCTGAAGGAGATGTCTTGAAAATGAGACAACCATAACTTGGCCTCTAAGTGATGGAAGCAACTCCACTCTTCATAGCAGAGCTCTTCATAGATCAGAACGAAGCAGTGGATTGGAGGAGAAGGATGAAGTATTAAATGTGCGCCAAGTGTTTGGTGAAATTTTTAGTGGAGTTTGGATGTGTGTGTGAAGTAACTCAAGCTTAGACAACCTTCCAAAGGGGAAGGAAGCTAGATGAGGACGTGCGAAATAAGCACAAGACAATGAACTCGAAGCAAGATGCCTAGATAAATCTCAGCAGCATTTCTCTATAACTTTCAAGTTGGATTTTACATGGAGATGCACCTCTCTTTTATAGGTGAAGAGAGAGCTCTAAATCTGACTTTGCAAACTTCTAAGATTAGTAAAGAAGAGTATCTAAGACGCTACTAAGCTTGGGCTGCAAGTTCCATTCCAAAAACATTAAAAACGTGCGTTTTTCAAAAGCTGAAAACTGGTGCATTTTGGCTGGGCGTGAACACCAGGTGGCTGGGCTCAGTCTTCATTCCGAAAGCCATTTTCCCATGTATTTCCAATCCGGAATGTAATGGTTTCAATCCGTAAAATGCTTAAATTCTTCCCTTTTTTTCCTCCTTTGCTCTCTTTAGCTTGGCAAGCCTCCTATGATGCATAGGCATGATTTCCAACCTTTATTGGTGACCTACAAAACAATATAAATGCATTTAGTAAAGAGAAGAAGGATTACTATTTGATATTCCATAAAAGTAATGTAGTAAGTGATCCTTCTTCTTCTTGAATCCTCTTGGCCATGGCTCTTGTTAGAGGTCCTATGTGCATCTTGGATGGTCCTACATTAGTCCCTTTCTCTTGAATAGGATCTGTCCTCAGATCTGCTGGTACCTGTTGGGCATCTCCTGTGAAAGGAATTAAGTCGTAGATGTTAAAAGTAGGACTGACACCATAACTTTCAAGAAGATCTAACATGTATGCATTGTCATTTATTTTCTTGACCACCTTGAAAGGACCCTCACCTCTTGGACTAAGTTTGGACTTGCGTCGAGATGGAAATCTATCATTTCTCAAATGAAGCCAAACTAGGTCACCTTCCTTAGGAATTACTTGTTTTCTCCCTTTGTTATTGTACTCGGTATATTTTTGAGTTTGTTTTTCAATGTGGATTTTAACTTTTTCATGTAATTTCTTGATGAACTCCGCTTTAGAAACTCCTTCCTTATGAAGAAAAGAAAATGATTCTGGAAGAGGTAGTAGATCAAGAGGTGTGAAAGAGTTAAAACCATAGGCAACCTCAAAAGGAAAAAGATTAGTAGTCTTGTGGACTACTCTATTATAAGTAAACTCTATATGAGGTAGATGATCATTCCAATTTTTATGATTACCTTTTAACATTACCCGTAATAGAGTGGAAAGAGATCTATTTACTACTTTGGTTTGCCCATCAGTTTGAGGGTGACACGTAGTAGAAAATAGTAGTTTAGTTCCTAGCTTGGCCCATAATGTTTTCCAAAAGTAGCTAAGGAACTTAACATCTCTATCAGATACTATAGTTTTGGGTAAGCCATGTAATTTGACTACTTCTTTAAAGAAGAGGCTTGCTATATAGCTAGCGTCATATACTTTGTGGCAAGGTATAAAGTGAGCCATTTTACTAAATCGATCAACCACCACAAAGATAGAATCAAACCCCTTTTGAGTTCTTGGTAAGCCAAGGAAAAAGTCCATACTAATATCCTCCCAAGGGGCACTAGCTATTGGAAGAGGAAGGTAAAGTCCATGAGGGATGACTTTGGATTTAGCTTGTAAACAAGCTATACAACTAGAGTAATGCTTTTGGACGTCTACTATCATGTGTGGCCAATAAAATTTACTTTTCAAAATATTTAGAGTTTTGTCAACTGCATGATGGCCCATGAGTCCTCCTTCATGACTTTCTTTTATAAGAAGCTTTCTAATGGATCCTTGGGGTATATAAAGTTTTCCCTTGTTATAAAGATACCCTTCAGACAAATAGAATCCATCAAATGGCTTCTTAAGACAGGATGCATAAGTGGATGCAAATGTATGATAAGTTTCATATAATTGTTTGATGTCATAAGAGCCTAATATTTGGGATCATAGAGTGACTAATAATGCATGGCGTCTAGATAAAGCATCCGCAACAACATTAGTACTCCCCTTTTTATGTTTGATGACATAGGGAAACTGCTCGAGGAATTCTACCCACTTTGTGTGTCTCTTGTTCAATTTTCCTTGCCCTTTACGATACTTGAGAGATTCGTGGTTAGTGTTGATAATAAACTCTCGCGACACCAAGTAATGCTCCCAAGTCTTCAATGCTCGTATGAGGGCATACAACTCCTTGTCATAGGTAGGATAGTTTAAAGTTGGTCCCCGTAGTTTTTCACTAAAGTAAGCGATTGGATGACCTTCTTGAATTAAGATTGCTCCTATCCCTACCCCATATGCATTACATATACCTGAAAAGCTTTGGAAAAATCAGGTAAGTGTAGAATGGGTGCATGTGTTAACTTATGCTTTAAGGTCTCAAAGGCCAAGACTTGTCTATCACCCCAATTGAATGGCACATTTTTCTTTATAAGCTCATTAAGGGGAGCAGCAATACTGGAGAAATTTTCTACAAAACGTCTATAGAATCCAGCTAGATCGAGAAAACTTCTTACTTCTCCCACTGTTTTCAAAACAGGCCACTCTTGGATAGCCTTGATCTTTTCAGGATCAACATGGGCAACGTCTTTCCCAACTTTGAAGCCCAGAAAAATTACACTTTCTTGATAAAAAGTACATTTGTCAAAGTTGGCAAAGAGATGATGTTGTCTAAGCCAAATCAAGACCTGCCTAACATGGTGAAGATGTTCTTTAAGACCTTTGCTATAGATTAAAATGTTGTCGAAGTAGACCACGACAAACCTTCCTATGTGTTCCTAAAGGACATGATTCATTAAGCGCATGAAGGTACTAGGAGCATTGATTAAGCCAAAAGGCATGACTAACCATTCATATAGACCAAATTTGGTCTTAAAAGCGGTTTTCCATTCATCTCCTTCTTATATTCTAATTTGGTGATATTCGATTTTAAGATTAATCTTAGTAAACATGTTTGCTCCATGTAGCTCATCTAACATATCGTCGAATCTAGGAATAGGGTGTCTATACTTAACAATGATGTTGTTGATAGCGTGACAATCAGTACACATCCTCCATGAACCATCTTTCTTTGGAACCAACAACACCGACACCGCACTAGGACTTAGGATTTTCTGGATCCACCCCTTGTTCAATAAATCACTGACTTGGTTCTCTATCTCTTTTGCTTCAATAGGGTTAGTCCTATAGGCTGGCCTATTGGGAAGGCTAGCCCCAGGAATTAAATCAATTTGATGTTCTATTCCCTTGAGAGGTGGTAAGCCACTTGGGACCTCTGTAGGAAAGAGATCATCAAATTCTCTTAAAAGCTTTTGTAACCCTTTGGAAAGAGAATCAAGTTGATAATTTATGGAGACAAGTGCCTCTTTGCAGTAGAGAAGAAAATGAGGTTGTCCAAGAAAAATATTTTTAGAATTTTTGGAATGGACAACATCTTTGGTTGAGGCACGACCTACCAAACTCATATTCTTCTCTTTTGACACTTTTTTATTTTCATTTTTTTTTTCATCCAACTTCTTTTTAAGAATTATTGGATCCTCTCGCACTTGAGAAGGTGTAAGAGGACTCAAGATAATCTTTTTGCCTTTATGTTGGATGGTTATTTTATTCGTGACCCCATCATGCAAAGCTTGTTTATCAAATTGCCAAGGTCGCCCAAGTAAGATATGATCAGCTTCCATTGGAACAATATTGCAAATGATTTGATCTTCATATTTTCCAATGGATATAGGAACACTTACTTGTTCCTTGACTACTATCCCATCATCCTCTTTGATCCATTGAAGTTTGTAAGGTTTTGGATGAGGAGTAGTAGTTAAGCCTAGCTTTTCAACCATTCTAGAGCTACAACAGTTACAACAAGAACCACTATCCATAATCATAGAACGAGTTTTGTGTAAAACTTTACAGCATGTGTGGAATAGGTTTTCTCGTTAAGTTTGTTCTAGCTCAACATGCTTTGTTTTCAGGAGTCGTCTTACCAAGTAAATCTCCATCACAAGGTGGAGTCTCATGTTCCTCGTCAAACGTGGATAACTCAGACTTAGTTGAGGAAGACTCCTCACTAGCATGCTCAAGCATGTAGGTTGACCTCTTGATACGACACTCAGTAAAATATTGTCTCCTTTCCCCGCACTTAAAACACCAGGTCTCCCTACTCTTAAAGTCTCGTGAAAGCTCTTTGTGAGTCTTGTCTCCTTTCCTCTCAATTTCTCTTTCTCGCGAGGTTCTTCATACCTCGAGTGACTACCCTCACTCTTAGGATCTTTCCTATATGTGGAGGTTGTAGGGTAGGTCCTCTTAGTGGAAGCTTTTCGTCTATTTTTCTCTTCCACTCTCACACATAGCTGAACGAAATCATTGAGATCTAGGTAAGGTAAAAGCTCTACCTTATCACGGATCTCATAGTTAAGTCCACTTTGAAACCTAGCTATGGTGAATCTTTCTTCCTCCTTGATTCCAGCTCTTAACATGAGTATCCATCTTTTGTTGATATTCCTTGACACTCATGTTTCTTTGTTGGAGTCTATGGAGCTTGTCCATATGATCCCCCTAGCATAATATGCTAGCACATGTCTTCGATGCAAGGCTGCTTTGAGCTCATTCCAATATTGGATGGTGTAGTCTCCTTGCATCCTTTGTTCTTTGATCACATATGTCCACTTGTATAGAGTTGAGCCTTGGAAGGTCAAACTTGCTAAGGTAACTCTCCTCTTATCATCAATGTGGTAACACTCAAAAATTTGTTCGACCTTCATCTCCCACTCAAAGTATTCTTCTACATGATCTCGGCCATAGAAGGGGGGAAGGTCATGTTTTGGTTCCACATAATGATCTCTATGATGGTGGTGTCTTCTAGGTTGGTGTTGATAGTAGTCATTATGATGACCACCATAATTATTTTGGTCACTGTGATGGGAATGATGATCACCACGATCATTGTTTTTCCTATGAGAAGACTCGGCATGATTTTGACCTCTTTGGTTAAGCGTGAGGCTAGTAACCATTTGCCTAAGGTCATTTATCTCTTGTCAAGCTAGGTTAAACTCAGATTGAGTTCTATTAAGCTCAGCTTCAATCGTATTAAGTTGAGCTTGGGTTCTATGAAGCTCCTCACTTAATTGCACATTCTCACAATCATTTCTTATACTGTCTTGCACAATTGAGTGACTCATACTTGTGAAGTGAGAAAAGGTTTTCACAAAAGTTGGAAAAACTTGCACAAGTAGAGAGTCTAAAAAAAATTTTCACAAATCGTTTAGATTTTTTTGTGTGAATGATTTCTAGAAAGATTCTAAAGGTAAAATGAACCAAATAGCTCCTAGGAAGGAGAGGTGAGTCACAAATGGACAAGCTTAAGAACCTTGTCCTTCCTAGCCAGAGTGTCTTTGAATTTTTTTTACCTTAGTTTCAAGGTAGAAATCTTTCAAAAGCTTTTTGAATGCAAGAATGAAATGCACCTAGAAACCAAATGAAGGTTTATCTAAATGACACGTGCACCTATATATCATGGAGACGTAAAACATAAAAATATTCAAACAAAATTAAAGAAAGTAATGCAAATGTAAAGAAGAATGTTAGACGACCCTAAGTGAAAGTGGAAGAGACACTTGGAGCCCCTTGACACACTTTCACACTGAGAAGTGGAAACTAAGCTATTACAATGTTCAATGGTGCACTTGGAATTGCTTGAAAAGCATTTTCCCAAAGCATTGGAGTTGTAAAAACAAAAACAAAGTAACCTCAAATGTTCTGTGATATAATGATTGAAAAGTACATGAAACTGTGTTTACAAGAGACAAAAAAAAATGAAGCTGTAGTGGCTAGCTTTTGTGCAGTTCCAAATTGTTGAGAAAATGTGTGGTGTTTGGTGTAGAAGTGCTGCTGAACTAGCANTAAAGGTAAAATGAACCAAATAGCTCCTAGGAAGGAGAGGTGAGTCACAAATGGACAAGCTTAAGAACCTTGTCCTTCCTAGCCAGAGTGTCTTTGAATTTTTTTTACCTTAGTTTCAAGGTAGAAATCTTTCAAAAGCTTTTTGAATGCAAGAATGAAATGCACCTAGAAACCAAATGAAGGTTTATCTAAATGACACGTGCACCTATATATCATGGAGACGTAAAACATAAAAATATTCAAACAAAATTAAAGAAAGTAATGCAAATGTAAAGAAGAATGTTAGACGACCCTAAGTGAAAGTGGAAGAGACACTTGGAGCCCCTTGACACACTTTCACACTGAGAAGTGGAAACTAAGCTATTACAATGTTCAATGGTGCACTTGGAATTGCTTGAAAAGCATTTTCCCAAAGCATTGGAGTTGTAAAAACAAAAACAAAGTAACCTCAAATGTTCTGTGATATAATGATTGAAAAGTACATGAAACTGTGTTTACAAGAGACAAAAAAAAATGAAGCTGTAGTGGCTAGCTTTTGTGCAGTTCCAAATTGTTGAGAAAATGTGTGGTGTTTGGTGTAGAAGTGCTGCTGAACTAGCAAGGTAAATGAACTTTGAGATGCACGCTTGTGGCTAATTTAGCAAGCCTTCCACTTCCTAATATGCTACACCCTTGGAGTAAGGTGTCTGGATTTTAGAAGCTTCACCAAAACGTCACAACATCCATACACACTAGTAAAACAGTCAACACACACTTATGCTACTGCACCAGTTTAATTTTCACGCACAAATAGATTAGAGGGCACAATTTGAAGCCAAACAAGTTGAATTCTAATGGATTGAAGTATGGAATAAAAGAAGGAACACAAAAGGGACCTAGGAAAGACACTAGAATAGATTAAACAATCAAGAAAATAAAAAATGCAGGTCAAATTCGAATTGCAGTAAAGTGTTTGATAAAAATTGCAAAGTGTTTGATGAAAGTCCCCAAAGAAGTGTAGATTTTTGGATTTTCGGTTTTTGGGGTAAAAACTGAATTGCTTGGTTTTCTTTTGCTTTTTATGGATGTTCTATACTGTTTTGATCATATAATTCCATTTGGAAACATGAAACCAGCTCTTGCCAATCCAGAATTGAAATTTAAAGATTGGAAATTTTCAAACAGCACCAAAATTGAATTCTGCACTAGAAAATGACACTTAAAGTGGCGTTTTCGAACCCAAAAATGTATGGAAGTGTTTTAACAACTTAAGTGATGCTTCAAGCAACTTTATATCATCAATTTGAAGGTTTGCAAACACTTAAACAACAAAGAAACAGGGTGCACAACAAAATCATTGGTCCACTTCCAAATTTAGGCAAAAATTGATAGTTTAGATGGTGATTTTGCATATAGGCTCAAAACTGACCAAATGAACAGTGCACACAAGTTTGGAATGGTAAAACAAACTTTCTCAAATGTGAAGGAAGCACTGAAACAACTAGATTCATCAAATGACAGTAGCACTTGCCAAAAAGGCAAAGATATTCCACCAAAATTGCACCAGAAAAGGCTTCTAAATTGGTGATTTTAAACCCAAAATTCGTAGGAAGTGATGCAACAACTATATTGAGTGATCAAACAACTTTGTATAATGATTTTACAGATGTGCAAACTGTTACACAACTCAGAAACAGATCACAATTCAAAATGACTGGTTCACTTCCATTTAATTCACAATTTTGATGGTTTAAAAGGTGATTCTGCATATAGGCTTAAAAATGACCATTTGAACAGTGCACACAACTTTAAAATGGCAAAATAAACTTTCTCAAACATTGTATATGCACAAACACAACAAGATTCAACAAATCATACTTGCTATAGCCAAATATGCAGCAAAAATGCACCAAAACCGCACCAGTATTCAGAAATCAGTGAAATGAAAGGAAGAGAGCAACACAATGACTCTAGGAAAGTCCTAATATACTAGACCTAACTGTAGAGAATCAACTAGAGGATTTTAAGCACCTAAGACACAGTCAAAGAAAGCAAGCACGGTGAAAAAGCTTGACAGAAACATTGGACAACACCTTGTTTCAGGATTTTAAACAACTCAGATATGCTTTTTGGAATTCAGTGGTTAATATAGATTGTCAGGACTTGAAACATATAGGATAACATCAAATAAACTTGTGTTAAGCTTTAGAATCAAGAAATCTGGACAGAAACAGTGTGCACATTGTTAGATGTTAAGATGTGTGTTTCTGTTAATTGGGCTTAGTCTATTCTGTATTAAGGGCATTGGCCCATATCTTACAATATAAATAAACTACCCTATGTGTAGTCTAAACACACAAGGGATATTTTCTCCCAATCTTCTTTATTTCTCATATGGTATCTAGAGCACAAGAATAGTTCCAGTCAACTCCACGGTCTCCGGCACCCATCACTGCTGCTGTTGTCGCAGTCACCGGAGTTCCAGAATCGACCGGCAACCACACCATCGGAAGCGTCTCGGCCGGGCGACCACCGTCGTACGAAGATCGCGGCGATCGGACCTCTCACACGCCTCCACGCGCCGCCGCAAGAGTCGCCGGAGCTTTCCGCCGCCGATCAGCACCGCCGTGATCGCCTCCTCGCCCTCTTTCTGGATCTGTGGTCGTTGCGTCAATCAGAGCACTTTGAATTTTTAGGGTTTCTCCCTCTCCATGGCGTCTTCCTCGTCTACAAACACCTCTATTGGTGGCTCATCTTCTGATCCCTCAATATATACTAATTATGTGAATGTACACTTGTCCATTGACAAGTTAGATGGCACAAATTATGCAACCTGGGCGTCCGACATCAAACTTTGGTTGAAGAGTCAGGGGTACTTAGATCATCTTACTCAAAATGTGACTACTGCTCTCATAGATGACACTTCCCGCTGGATGAAAATTGATGCTCAGTTATGCATTGTTATAAAGTCCACCATTCACTCCTCACTGAAACAAATGTTTCGATCCTATGAGACATGTTCAGAAGTATGG